TTGCCCCGGTGGAGTAACTGCTTGGATGGAAATTCTTTCTTATTTTACTGAGATTATGAAATATTATGAAGTTACAACTGCACCAGGAGAAAAAGTAGATTTCACAGCAACAACTGGTCTCATTGCCGCCTTACTCCCACAACGACTCTCTTTCAAGCTGAGATAAGGGAAATGATAATCGCCAAAAAATTGAAGTCTGACTTGGAAATGTTTTACATCAATAGAAAACTTGTGATGCGTAAAATACGCAATAAAGAAGAAAACACGATTTGAATTTTTTCAGTTCTGTTGCAGTGTATGACAAAAATGTATTGTTTTATTAGTATTTTTGATATACAATAAAGTTTTCTAAGTTTATTTCTTTAGATTTTTGCTTAATAATCGAAGACATGTGCAGTTGAAGGGCTAAAAGAATTGATATTTATAGAGTCGATGACAAATTAATGTGATTCGGTGAATTAGATATTTGTTCTTTCTGCAGTTATTAATTGTTTTTCAAAGCATAAGTAATATTTAATCATATTTAACCATAATGTATTTAAAATTCTTGTACTAAGCCATGGTGGCTCTGGGGATAGAGTGCTTGCCTTCCAGGTTTGAATCACAGTGATGGCTGGTTGATATGAATTCTGCACCCTTCTCGCATCAACGACAGTACTAGCGTAAAATAACTTCAGTAGTAGACGGCTCATGTGTTAGAGTCTTTTTGTCATCAGGCTAACCGGGGAGATTTTTATGATTTTTCTCTCAATGTCACGCAAATGAGGCTTATTTCCTTAAAAAAGTCCGAACCTCCAATGGATAATTCGACGCGAAGGCAAATTTCTCTCAATACTTCATCCAAGAGTTGCCTTGTCTTCCAGACTGGGTTGAAAATTACAAAATTACGGAGTTGAATATCGGTAGTCTTAAACTCAAAACTGGGTCAGCTGTTCAACGAAGGTTACAAAATAAAATAAAATAAAAAATCTTGTACTGGAAATCTTCCTTAAACCAACTCCTTATATTCCAAAAAAAATTTGAATATATAGTCTTATATGCAAGCTTTTATACATTTGTTTTCTTTTAAAATTTTGTCTGGAATTTTGATTGTATGTACAGCGTGCAAAAAAAATCTTACTTTTGATCTACGAATAAAATCGTCAAATAACGTATATACATATAAACGTATTCAATAACCAAATAATAAGTCAAATAACGTATTCAATAACATACCGTTTTTTATGGGTTTGGAAATATCTATCGATCTATCTATGTATGTATATATATATATATATATATATATATGTATTTNATATATTATATATCACAGTAAGCGGTATCGTTTATGTTTAAAAATTTTACAGCCATTTTAGAAAGGATCAAAAATATTTACGCTAAAAATATACTTGAGGGTGTCCCTTTGCGAAATTGGCGACTCATATTTGGCGCCATTACTGCTTGCGCGGAACACCGTGATAACAGGAATGGCGGTCAAAACATTGATATTTCAATAAAACATTGGAAAATTTCAACAAAACATTGGCCAAAATTTTATAAAATTGAAATGAACCCCATATAAGCAAAATTAATAGAGCCAATAAAATGCATTTCGAATCGAAACAAAAATTAATGGTGTAAGCACAGAAGAAAAAGGAAAAAACAACAACTCATTTCTTCATAAAGCTTGAATATCCTCAGATTTAAGTGCACAGAATTCTCTTATAGCAGTTAGATACTATCTAAATTTTTCATGAATAGAATCTGTGTACCTCCATCCAGGGACCCCGGGCACAAATGAATTTGGGGCCCCCAGTTAAAGAGCCGATAAATTTTAGTTAACATGCAAGGTCTTAAACTTAATATTGAAAAAGTATTTTTCAGACCGTAAAAATTGCAAGTAACATGAAACCTTATTTAGAAGTATTCAGATATTCAGAATTTAATTTAGTGAAATTGTAAAAAAAAAATACAAAAATTTAATAAACATATCTAGAGGTTTTGGTTAGAATGTTAAAAATTATGAAGGAAACAAGATATTTGTACCGATTACCTAGAAAAACATAACGTAGAATTCTAAAAAAAATCATTTTAGATTTATTATTGAGTTTAAAATTTATTTGACATTTTAAGAAAGTTGACCTAAATACTCAATATAATCAATAATTGGCTAAACATTAAAAAAATTGTTTTATCAAAAAATTAGAATATAGCGTAAGATTTCACAATGTTTGTTTAATAGACCTATATATGCATGTAACACACTTTTACAATGTTTCAGAGAAATTACTAACAGAAGCTTATAGCTTAGTCTTGTAAAAAGAATGACCTTGCACTAGAGCATTAAAAGTTGTTATAATACTGTAATAAATAATATCAATAGCAAATTATTTTGCTCTAGTGCGAGTGCGGAGTAAATAGTAATGATATAATGGAATAATGATATAATGCAAGTACCCCATTCATAAAATTTGATAGTTGTCCCTGTTCTAAACATTCTTTCAAAGGGATCTTCTACACAAGGATTTGTATTGGCCATGTAATGTAAAAGATCATTTATTGGGAAAGGGGGCCACTCAAATGTTGGGGGCCCCGGGCACGTGCCCCGAATGCCCTCCTGTAAATCAGTCCCTGCCTCCATCGGCACATAAGTTAGGTGAAATACGAATCGAAAATGGCATCTGTGGTACCAGACTGGTGGTGACATTTTCTTCTAAAGTCCCTTTTTATGACTGCCCACATACCTCCGATCTTATTGACCAGAAGCAAAAGTAACCTTATCAGCCGGTATCCATCGTAGAACTAAGGGACATCTGAAATTACATATACCGTTGAACATTTAAAAATAACGCTGAAATCTAAACCGATCAAGAATCACGATTGGGTTTCAACATCGCCCAGCTTGGCGAAAAACCGCGATCACAACTTGGCGAGAATCAAGGGGCACCCTCAAATATAGTCTATCCATATTTACTTTGGAACTAAGTTTTTATTTTCATGAAAAAAAAACATAATTATTCTAAATAATTACTTAATGTATAACCTATTATTCAACACATAATATTACTTAAGACATCCTAACAAAATGAATTTAAATAAGTACGTAACGTAGAACGAATTTCTACCACTACTTAATGTATTGCTTAAAGCAACCTACCAAAATCCAACCAACATGTAGTGTTGCCATAGAGAAATACTCGATTTTATGGTGAAGAAAAATTATACAATATGAGAAGATAAGAGAAATTTTACAAAGATAGTATTATTTTCCTATCTTCAACAAAAATATTCAGCGACTTCTTTAATTGCCATTCTTTTTAATATTTATAGTTAAAATCGTTGTAAAGAAATTAAATAAAAAAAATCTATTGAGGATTGAAAAATAATATTCTGAGCAAAAAATAAATGAAACGTTATCAAATGATGACGAATCCGCACTGAGATTTCGAGAAAGTTGGAAGTTTTTCACTAAAATCATTTGCCTTTGGTTAGAAAACGTCTTTCGGTTGCATCTAGTTAGTTTTTTAAAGTTTTTAGTCTTTCCTTTATATTGATTATATATAGCTTGTTTTTGATTGTTTCTTTTATCACTCAATTTGCGAATTTAAATGTGCGAAATTAATTTAAAAGTGGTCATTACAGGACACTTAACTATAACACATAGTTTAGCTTTGAATGCAACTTATTTTAAATATGCAACATAGAACTTATTTATGCAACATAGAGCATAGAACTATGGCGCATAGAGCATATTTCAATTATAAAACATGAGCTTAAAACATAAAATAATGTTTCTGGTTGTTTTTATTATTTTAAGAGTAATTTCCGGATTTTTATGAGCAAAGTCTTCGCAACATCATTAAGAATAAAAAAATAAATATTAAAAAGTGAACACTTTGTTCAATTTTAACACACATAATATCCTTTAGAGTAGTATATTTTGACTTAGATCAATGAAACCTAAGTTACGCAAGACAATGCATTTGGTTGTTTATTTCACTTAAATAATAATTTGCTTAAATAGTAATTTGCGGGAGGATTGCAAGTTTATGAAATATTTAAATTTAAATATTAAGAACTGTCATTACAGAACACATTGATAGGCTTAACATAGATATTTTAAGCTTGAGTGCAGGATATTTCAATTATGAGTTATAAAACATAGACTTAAAATAAAAATATATTGGTGCTTTTGTTCGTCTAATACTAATTTGGTACCCTTAATGAGCAAATGTTTTGCAAATTCATAAAATATCTATAAATAAATATTGAAAGTAGTATTACCTTGATTACTTTGTTCATTGCATATTATAGTTTTGAATGTAACAAAATTTGCTTTTGAGCTATAAAACTTAGGCTTATAACGTGGGACAATATTTTTGATAGAGTCTTTCGCTTACTTGCTAATTTACGAATCTTAATGTGCGGTGGGTTTGCAAGTTTATGAAGTATCTAAAAATGAAAATTAAGGGTTATTGTTATAAGAAACTTTGTAAAGTTTTAAACCTATATTAGCTTTGAGTGCAACATATTTGGGTTATGAGCTGTAAAGTATATATTGTTAGTTTTAGGTTGCTTTTTTAACTTAGTGTTAATGTGCCTTAATTCTTAACATGCAGAGGGTTTTGTAAGTTAGTAAGGAATTTAAAAATAAATATTAAGGGTAGTTGTTACAGAACACCTTATCATTAATAGATATATATTTCAGCTTTGAGTGCAACATAGTTTGACTATGAGCTATAAAACATAAGATAATTTTTTTATTTAAAATGGCTGGCTGATTTATAGAAATGAGAAAATCATGGCAGAAATATAAAAAACGTAAAATTACTTACACATTTATGTAAGCAATTATATATATTTTTCCTTTTGAATTAGTTATTTCAAAATATTTGTAATGTTTCATCTTTTTATGTTTTTTGAACTCTATTTTTAATTCTTTTCTGTTCTCGATAACGCGTTTTTTCATGCTAAATAAGCAATATCACCTGTGTAAAAAGATAAGATTAGCAGTTAAGAGATGGCAGAACAATTGATTCGTTTTATCACAAAAAACAAGAGATATTCACCTAGGAAAGTTTATAAATAAGAAGATTTCTAATTCATCTTTACTCTTTTTTACAAAAGGGGGTGAAATGGATAAGACAAAGCTTTTAGTTAGCGGGTGGGAGGTTAATTCCCTTACCAATACTTTATTGGTATTACTCGTTAGCTCTCTTTCATTATTTATATTGCAAAAAATTGTGAAGAAATTATGGAGTGGGAAAAAGCTTCCTCCTGGACCTCTAGGTTTGCCAGTACTAGGATATATTCCTTTTCTGGGTCCTGAACCTCATAAAAAAATTAACAGTTTGAGAAAAAAATATGGTGACATTATAGGGTAAGTAAACCTGATTTTCTTTTCATTTAAAATAAATTTTTATTTTAATAATAGGAGAGTTGTTAGGGTAGATTAATATAGGATTGCTGTCAGTTTCAAAATGTGCAAACTAAAGATACAGTAAAATTGACCAATGCTTATTTATTAAAATTAGTTTGAATTTTTCTTTTTGAAAAAAATTAATGTTTTTCATTTTGCAAAATTTCTTCAATTTGATTGCGTAAGAGTTAACATGATTTTTCGAAGTTTTTTCGTCAAGGAAGCTAAAAATAAGTTTAAGTGATGGTAGTTTAAAATAAAAATATAGTTTAAGTCATTACATTATAATTCAAAAGTATATATAGCATCTTCTGTGTAGAGCTGACAAAGAACTTAAATATTTTAAAAATTACTCAATTTTTTTTTAAAAATTCAAAATTTGGTGAAATTTTTCTCCCGTTGGAAAAATTTCAAAACCATTGCTTTATTCTCAGCACTAGCAGATTTTTATGAGCCCAAATAATGCAGTATTGGAATAAGGTTTATAATATTATAAAATTAGTCCACGAAGCTGTGAAACTGTAAGTAAGCATAGAGAGCGATGACTATAGATAAGCAAGACTTGACCTAACAGTATTGTTAACTTAACTTAATTGCTACAAACTTACAGATATCATGAAAATACCGTATTATTCGGGGAAGAAAATGTCACGCAATCAATGTGTCATTATCTGCGAAGCGATCATTGTGTTCAAGGGATTGTGTCATTATGGCATTAGCTTTATTAGGAGTAAAGGTGGTTGGTGTGCAATGCTGACTACATTGCGGCGATTAAGTTGAAATTGTGAAGCTATAAATTTCAATGACCAAGTGGCCCGTAAAGGGATGTTGCAGGAAATGCTTTGCTCCCCTATATGCCCCTGATATATATTCACAGATCATATCAAAATTTCGGATTTAACGCTGTTTTTCGAAGCTCTGTCGCCAAAGAAAAGAAAAAAGTTTAAGTGCCTTACACTTGAAGCAATGCGATGATTTTAAACTATATGTATAATCTTGCCGTGAAGAATTATCTGGGCTTTGGAATGGATAAATGACTTAAATATTTTAAAAGTTATTAAAATTTTTTAAAAATCGCCAATTTGGCGACATTTTCCCCACCTGGATGAAAATTATTGAAATCCCTGCCTTGTTCTTAGATTTTATGAGCCTGGATAATGCCGCATTAGAGTAAGTTTTTAAATATTAAAAGAAAATTAGACCACAATTGCTTTTCATTTCCACAAAACTATAGCTTTTCCCCATATTAATGTTTTGCGCCATTTTACAGCAGATTGATAGTCATCTTTTATTTATTATAATAGGCATAATGAAAATTGAAATTTTAAAATGTTAATTTTATGTTCGTTAAGATAATGGCATGAACTGAAAAAATTTAAAGGAAGCATATGCGTTAAGAATTTACACAGAGTTCAAAATTATTCTACTCATCTTACTTCTGAATTAATCTAGTTTATAAATCGTTTTTTTATTACACTGCGCTGCATAAAAGAATTATCTGTCACTATTTCTGCTGATTTTTATGTGACACGACCCAAATCCTACTAAGATTCCTGTTTCTCTTCCTCCCTTTGCATTTTTTGGGAACATCCCTTAAATAAGCATGTATTTTTTTCGGTAATTTTAAGGCTACGAACTTGATTTGGAAGGAAAAATAATTTTTTTGATCTCTAAGCTTTTTATCAGGGGCTAGAGAATTAAAAAGTTCAGAAACTTGAATAGTTCTTTCAAAAAAGAGGATTTTGGGGAATTTGTACTCGTAAATTAAGAAAAAAAATGAAGAATTTTTTTCCAGAGTTTTTTTAGTTCAATTTAAAAGTTCTACAACCTCCTTTTGCTCGCCTGAACACCCCATGTAATATAATATAAATATCTGTGACAATTTTGGATAAAAGAAGGTGAGGGAGAGAAATCAATTAATTCCTCACTGATTTTCCCTCCCACAACTGATCACGTTTTAGAATTTTTTTTACTTTCCTAGCCCCTAATGAAAAGTTTAAAGGTAAAATATTGTTCTTTTACTTTCGTATGGCAACAGTTTCACCAAAAACTCTAGTTTTTAATATTATAGCTCTGGATTTTTGCCAGAGTCAACAATATACCACAGTAAAAACACATTTAAACGAGTAAGTAATAATTTGCGTATTTCAATTTATTGCGTGTTTTCGTTTAATTTCTTGAGAGAAAAAGAAAGAAAATCATCAGCATTCAATTTAATGAAAATTCAGTGATTTTGTAACTCTTCCAACAGGTGGCACCACCGCGACAAAACTCCAGCAAATTTGGTAATAATTTCAAAACTGAAAACCGAATAAATTGTTTTTATGCTATACTCTAAGGTGCCATAATAAAATTACCATATATTACAAAATTTACTACCAAATATATGGTAAAAAAAAAACATATTTAATTTTTCCAAAATCATTATCAAAGAGCTTGGGTAAAATTTACCGAGATTTTGATGTTGCTATAGAGCCAGAGAGACGGTAGATTCTATCATATTCTGATAGTTTTGACTATACTATTTTTTTCTTAATGTACAGTAAAGCTTAGAATACTTCCAATTAAATGCCTTTTAATTTTGATGTTACAAATTGGGCAAAAAATCTTTAATTTTTATGTGAAAGTAAAATTCGTACGTTTTCTTAAATGAATGCAAAGCTTACTGCATGCATGTGTCATTGCACAGAAAAATCAACTATTGAAATAAAGCAACAATGGTTTGCTGCTGACCGTAAAAGTGATACTATATTGTATTTTTAATTAATTATTATACACTCTATAGCAAAAAGATCGACGCACCAAGAAGAAGTTGTCCGATTAAAACGAAAATTAGTGGATAGGAAGACAATGTGCAGAATAGTAAATGATTAAAATTTCAGAACAATTGAATAATTTATTGCAGAGTTACAGTAACAAGTTCAATAGGGTGTTGACCCGCCTCTAGCCTGGATGCAAGCTGCCACACGGCGTGGCATAGACCGATAAAGCTCCCGGATGGTCTCTTGCTGTATTTTCTGCCAAATTCGATTCAATTGTCGAACGAGGTCATCAACATTCCGTGCCAGATGCAATCGCCTTCCCATCATATCCCAGACATGCTCGATGGGAGAGAGATCTGGTGATCTGGCATGCCAAGGAAGAGTTTGACAAGCTTGCAGACAGTTCATAGCAACACGTGCCGTATGTGGTCTGGCATTGTCCTGCTGAAAAACCAGCCCAGGGAGCAGAAAAAAGGAATGGTAGCAAAACAGGTCTTACGATGTCGTCGACGTATCGCTGTGCAGTAAGTGTACCTCTAATGACGACTAATGAAAGGGGTCCGGCTGTCAAAGGAAATGGCATCCCAGACCATAATGCCTTGTTGAGGGCCGGTGAGGCAGGCAATAGTGAAGGCAGGATCCCCCCTCTGCCCTGTGCGTCTCCAAACACGTCTTCGATGATCGTCAGGACACAGTTGGAAGCGGGATTCGTCGCTAGAGACTATACGTCCCCAGTCGGCATCATTCCAGCCTGATCGAGCCATGCACCACTGTAATCTGGCACCAAGAAGCAATCGGATGATTGCTTCTTGGTGCGTCGATTTTTTTGTTATAGAGTGTATTTAGTTTTGAATATTTTTAAACAAAAATTTATTGTCACTTGGCATAAATTGCAAGTTTTCTGCAGAACAACCTTTATACTCGTAATGAAAATGCGTTTATAATTTGTTTTTGATTTATTTAAGCACTAATATCTCAGAAGATGAATCGATTTCATATTTGAGTTCTCGCAGTTCGCAGAAACAAATATTGGAAACTTATTATTCAAATTTAAAGTAGTTTAATAAACTACTTTAAATTTGAATTTGTATATAAATTTGTAACTTTCTAAATAACTAGAATTAGCTTAAAATTTTAATAACACTCTTTATGCAAATTTTATTTAATTATATATTTCGATTTTAGTTTGTATTTGGGAACAAAATATACAGTAGTTCTAAACGAGTATTCCATAATGAAGGAAGTATATTCTAATCCAGCAAGTTTAGATAGAGCAGTTGAGCAATTTGGCCATATAGCTGATTTCGGTAAGTATGTATTGTAGATCAACGTTTAAAATAAATTAATTTGATCAAATATCACTGATAAAAACCGTCTGGTCGAATTAAAATTGTTTTTTCAATAATTTACTAATCAATCGCAGCTATAATTCTAAAGGTGATATCTCAGTATGGCAATGTTTAACAAAATGAGATCGCTTAAAGCGAAACTTTATGTGCAAATGTATAATTTAACGTTTCTATTTGTTGTAAATATTGATAATTAAAAGAAAAAATCCTTAAAATTTGCATTCATTTTACTTAATTTCCTTCGATGTGGCTCAACTTGACGATTTCAGATGAATTAAAAGTATTTATCAAGACATAACTTTAGGTTCTTCAGGAGATAACTTTAATTTTATCCAAGCTTTGTACATCGAAGACAAAAGTAATTTATGATAGCTTATCTTTTTTTTTCTTTTTCTAAGATCTTTTTTCTCACATGATAAACGAGTGCAAATAAACAAAGGCACGTTTTAAGTGTTCTTTCGTTAATAATATTCACAAGATGTATATTCTTATTTAATTAACAACTCTCCAACGACTTTGTAATTGACTTTTCCTCCCTGATTTTCATCTCCTTCAACGCAAGAAAGGTTGATTATACTAATTTTCACCAGTAGAGCTTTAGAGTAGACTGATTAAGTACACTATAGCCACTTTTATGAGTATAGCTGAGGTCATTCGAAAGTTAAGTATTCGGCTGTTGTATACACATATGCGAGATATACAAAGTTTGTTTCTGTTTGTAGTAAGAGAATAAACAGTTTTATGTTGATGTTTTGACCAGGTTTCGGCAATTTGAATGGAAAGGCATGGCAAGATCAAAGGAAATTTACAATGTCTACAATGAAAGATTTGGGTATCGGAAAAGAATATTTCGAAGAAGTGGTCAGGGTAAGTGACATTTTCTACTGGAATCGCTTAGAACATTTTATCTAAATTTTTTCACTTCAAATCCTAAAAAATATGGAAATTTGATCTTGGAATATTTTAGGATTTTGTCTTTTTTATCATGGATGATAAAAAGTTTTAATTTTCAAATGGAATGTCACAGAATAGACTAAAATCTAAGAAAACTAAATTACACTGAGGAGCAAAGTTTTTGTTGCATTTGTACAAATACTTAATATTGCCTAATTCCGGTGTGGATGTATCAAATCTGAAATTTGTTTTGCTCCTAAAGCTGCAGATATTTTTTAAAATGTCATTTCTGGTCTATTTTTTGTTGAAGCGTACAAGTTTAAAAACGTTGTATAGAACAAGGGGTCGGGCAAATATTGCATCAAACCTTTAGGGGAACTATAACTTTAAACTTTTTTTTCTAAAAAATATGCTACCCAAACTAAAAAAAGTCAAGAATCAAGTTTTTTTATTTATTAAAAAGTCGAACAGAAGAGCGGGTCATTAAAAACCGCTGGATAGGAAATTCACTTTCTGAAAATATCATCGTACGCTGCTTGGGGTACTTCCTTATAATGACCTGTTCAGAAGCATGAAGACGCAATTTTGATCTTAATCGTGTGCTCCAACTCTCATAGAGGTTGGTCGCAACATTTAATTTTACCCCTGTTATATATAACTTTTTTAAATGTAAGCATTTAGACACAAAATAGACAAAAAATATATGATTGAAAGAGCTTTAGTTTGGAGAGAGAGACCGATTGCAGATTTGAAATCAGCGATACGAAAGTATATAAGATCTGTTAAAAAAATCCCATGCAACTGAAGAAAAAAAATGTTCCCCAGTGTATTAGTTACAATGAATAATACTTAAAACACCATAAATTATTATCACAAAAAATTATTATTATTTGCTAAGAAACATAATTAATTAAATAATCATAATTAATTAAATAATCTTAATTAATTAAATAATCATTATTCACATTAAATAATTAAACATTATAAAAATCATTATCAAATGTAAAAATGCAATGTAATTACGTACAATAATAAATTGCTTTCAATAATAATTTACGTCAATGTTTAATATATGAATTTCGAATATACCAACTTACTTGTCAAATGATTTATCACTTTTAAAATACATTAAAGTCCCGATTATCTGAGTTAATGGGGACCGCAACAAACTCGGATAACTGAAAAACTCGGTTAAAGCGAAGAGTATAAAAACGGAAAGAAAAAGAGAAGGTATAAATGTAATATATTTAAGAAATACAAAATGTATACCACATAGAATTCATATTATAATTAAAAAGTTTACTTAAAAACATTTAAAAAGCATACTTTACGAGAATTAAATAGTTTTTACTTAAAAAAAGTCCTAAATCGTTTTTCGTTCTACGTAACTTTGGTGCTTTTCTGTAGTAATGTTTCGCCTTTTTTAGGGATAACAGGAAGGCTGGTGTCGCCTCTTTTTGTTGTTCTATATATTCAATAGTACATTCGATAGCTTTTAGTCCATCTATATGAGAGATTTTTATATGTTGATTTTAATAATCACTGTCTTCATCATCTTCGCTAGATTCATTATCATTATTGACGATATTAACGATAATTTCATCAGACCAAGTTGTTGGATTTTGTTTTTCTGAGTGTTTTGAAGATAAAATTCAGATTTATTTTTCAGCGGTTTTTTTAAAAATAAACTAGAACAAAAAAAATCCTTGAAATATTTGATAGCTCGGTTAAAGCGGAAACTCGGATAACCGGGGCTCGGATAATCGGGACTCTACTGTAATCATAAAATATCATCGCAATTGGACTGAATAACGATGATTTTTTATTGTGAGTTTAGTTAGTGGTCACCACTACTTGAGGTGACCACTAAGGTTAACCAACCTACTATTTATACCTTTTAATGACGAATATGTTGTTGATTATCCTTCTTTACTAGATAGCAGGACCGAAAATCAACCCTATGCTCACCTGTAACTCACCTTTCGTTTGGAAATTACACTTTATTATGAGATATACTTGCTTCAGCACATTTTGAAATATATTTACAGTAATGCGAGAAATAAAATTTTTTCTTTTATGCAAACAGGATGAAGTAGCTGAATTTATAAAATATTTGAAGACACTTGATGGAAAGCCAACACATATCTTTCAACCCTTGCAGTTTTCAATAGCTTCGAACATTATTGCCTTCTTGATTGGGAGGAAACTGGACAAGGTAAAAGAAGCAGACATCATTCAGCTTTCAATGGATTTTAACCGAATAATCTTTCAAGTCAGCGGGACAACAATGGCTGTTGTTAACGTGCCCGGCCTTTCAAAACTTTATCAATTCCTGGGTATTGCTGGTTTCAAAGAGGCTGCTCGTGTCTCCAAAGATTTCAATGGTTTCTTCAGGTATGTCGGTGTTAAGTTCACAGTTAGAAATTCTAAGGTGCGATGATATTACTTGAATTTAATGCAGCCTTAATATGGTACCATTGTTTTATGTTTCTTAAATTTATGTGAGAGGAGGATACACCACGAGCGAAACTTTTCATTGCAAATTAAATTCTTTTTCACTTCCATAACTAATTTAAGAGATTGAAAGAGTGAGTTCGAAAAACCTATAGTAAGTCATGGAGTATCAAATACTGGAAAGAAATTTTCAAAATATTAAAATGATTACAAATCACGAGAGGAAATTTAGGATTACTCAATGGAAAAGTTTTTTTCCAATAATTAGTTTGTATTTTAAATTTTTTTTCTTCAGCAATAGAAACTTTATGGTTTTCTCCAGAATTGCCTGAACTCATTTTTTCAATACTTTAAATTTTAAATTAGTTACGGGGGGGGGGGAAGAAAACTTCGGATGCAAGGTTTCTCCAGTGATATAAAGGCTTCTTAAGGATCAATTTGAATATGGTTAAATTTGACGGCTTATAAAGTTGTAGCAAATTTTTAACAAAATTTAGGTCAGTAGCTAAATAATTTTTCTGAAAGTGTACGGATAAGAAAAATTAGTTTTCAATTTTTTTTCAATCACTCATTACTTTATAATGCTCTTTTGTTGTTTTTTCGCCGTTTTTCTTGTAGTTTTAAGTGATTACTTTTGCTTATTCCTATATTTAAAGTAGGGGCAGTTGGAATTATCTAGTATTTGAATTGGCAAAAGAAAAAGAGTTTCGTTAATTAAATATGAGATGTCACCATGAAAAATTTATTATTTACAACAACTTTATTCTTAACATTTTTATTAGAGCTCTCTCATAGTAATTTCCAACCGAAAGTTTCGTTAACACTAGATTCCTCAAGGAAGTCATTTTGACTGCTTTTTAACTGTTTTTTCATTTGCAAAAAATGTACAAATGATAATGCATAAATTATTTTTTTCCCAGCGAAGAAAATTTTTTTTTATTGTTGATACTTACTAATAACTTGTTATATTGTAAATAATATAAAAAATATTAAAAATTAATTAAACAAACTTCTTTACACTTCACAATGCAGTTATTTTGACTGCTTTTGGGCAATCTAGGTATATATTAAGTTTCAGTCTTTCAAGTGTTAAGCCCTTAATATTTATCCTATGTATATTTCAATCATTTTATTCCGTGGTTCGTTAATGTGTTGTTTAGAAGTGTTGTTTAACCCGGAATAGCTACCCATCCAAATGTAGTGCATACTGTGCATACTCAGGTCGTTTTGATGTATGGGTAGTTATTGTGTTGTTTAAAAGTGTTGTTTAGCCCGTAATAGCTACCCACCCAAATGTAGTGTAACTGTGCATACTCAGGTAATTTTGATGGGTAGTTATTGTGTTGTTTACCTTTAATGGCTACTCCTCCAATTGTAGTGTAAACTGTATATAGTCAGGCTATTTTGAACCAGGTGCAGCTATTAAGGATTAAACAACACAACTTTGATGAACTTTTTTAACTTGATTTAAAAGAAATTTTCTTTGGATTCTTTAAAACTCTACTTTTCCGTTATCAATCGTTTTTCATCAGCTAAAAACTTGATAATGCACGTTTTTTCTCTATATTTTTAGGAGGGAGGTGGAAAATCGCTTGAAATCATCGAGCTCCCAAGTATCTCATGATTTTCTAGGTGTTTATTTAGAAGAATTAAGTAAATTAGGAAGCGAAGCTAGAGAAAAGTATTTTTCAGGTACTAATAATTAATTTCTTCAATTTTTCTTAAAAATTGAAACTTATTCATTATAATTAGTGAAGTGTTGGTAATAAATATTTAATATTCTATTTCTTTACAACACATTGAATAAATTACTGCAATTGTTTATTATTATTTTTCATATTTTAAGTCAAGTACTGGTTTAATTATTTCAGTGATATTTAGAAAATATACTAAAAAAAGAGCTTATACTAACTCTGATTATCAGAATGAATTTTGACGCAACACAACTGCTTAAAATAAAATCTCTTTTTATTACGCGAAGTAAATCATTTAATAATTTTTCAAAAATATCCCGAAAAAAATATATTAGATAGAAATTATCACCAATCCTGGTGAGTAAGTTTTAGAAATTTTTCTGACTGATTAAAGTTTTGGAGGAATCTAGCCTAACTATACTGGTCATGACCACTTTTTTAGACATTTGCTGTTGTTGCTAATCTCGGATTCGTTTAGCAGTGCTCCATGAATCCGAACACCCCCAAAAAGTCCATAAAAAGACTGGAGTCTCGCTGGATCTCATCTTTACCGAACCCCAAACAAGTCAGAATATGTGCAGGGCACCAATGACATTCAGGAAAGGTTTTTTGGCCCCGATTGAAAGTAAGGGATCTAGTGTGGCCACTCAAGAAGCCTGAAAAGGCAGTTTGATGTGCTCTAGGTCTAAGATTGAAAGATTCTCCCGTTTTTTTTTGCAAAATACCAAGAGTGGTTGGGTGGAGTTCTTATGGTCTTGTTTAATTTCATTTTTGCCAGGGAAGAAATTTCACTAAAGGTAAGCTTCCCACAATGATCAGCGTCTACTTCGGCAGCGGATTTGGTCAGGAAGTCAGTCCTCTCATTCCCATCAACCCCAACATGTGAGGGAATCCACTGAAAGTGTTTAGAATGGTTGGATGAGAGCCTGTCAATTAGGTCTAAAATATCAAGGCTGGTCTGATCTCCGATAATATCCCAATTAGAGATATGCTGGATTGAGGCACGACTATCAGTAAATATCCAACATTTATATGCATTTAGACATTTATATACCATAAATGAAACTGATTGTATGAATAACCTAATTGACATATAAGTGAATTTAATTAAACGGGTTTTAAAGTTTTTAGATTTATTATAAGATTGCTTGTATTTCTTGATGACAAGCTAACATTTGACGAAATCTATGATATCCTAACATTCAATTAAGCTATTTGCGTTATGGCTTAGGTTATAGTTTTCTGCCAAACGACAAGTTATTTGAAATTATTCGCCTGCTGTTTATGCCCAAATGCAATATCATTTTTCCATATCAAAAACACCCATAGACAGTCCTTTGGATCCTTCATCCACTGAGATCCTCGGACATAATATAAATAATTGTATCTCTATTCAAAATAATTGTATCTTTTGTAGTTACATAAAACTAAAATAAGAACTTTTCACAACAGATTTTAGTTTTTCAAAGATATATAATAATTGTTTGTGTAATAAATGTATAAATAATTGTATCTTTTATTCAAAATGACGCCCGGTGGCTGAGCGGTAGCGCTTCGCGCTGTCGTGCCACAGGTCCCTGGTTCGATCTTCGGGTCGGGCAAGGTTGACTCAGCCTTTCATCCCTTCAGTGGGTCGATAAATGAGTACCAAGCATGCTTGGGAACTAAACACTGCCACAGGTTCTTGGTTCGATCTTCGGGTCGGGCAAGGTTGACTCAGCCTTTCATCCCTTCAGTGGGTCGATAAATGAGTACCAAGCATGCTTGGGAACTAAACACTGGGGGTTTCGCGTTCGGTTGACCACCTAACCGGAACATCTGCTCCTGCACCCCAGAGCCCAAAGGTAAAGAAAACTGAGATAGGCACAGTAGGCCTTGGCCTTCTATGGGCTGTCGCGCCAATGAGTTTTAGTTTATTCAAAATAATTGTATCTTTTGTAGTTAAATAAGACTAAAATAAGAACTTTTCTCGACAGATTTTAGTTTTTCAAAGATGTCATTATACAATTTTTCCACCCTTGTATTCAATTTTTTTTTGATGATCCATGTTGCAAACTTTGAAACAGTTAGAAACCTATGAACTTCTCGCCACGCTATAAAAATTCCCGATCAAGTTACGCAAAAAGTACCGGCACTTAGGGTACCGATACTTTTTGCCGTAAAATCCCTTTTTACTTTAAAATATTACGGAACAAAAAGTCATTCATAGTCACAAAGTCAGTGGGTACATAGACGCTCTTCTGTTGCCTTTTACTATTTTGTAGATAGGTTTCAGAATTGGCATCAAGAGCCGCCATTGGAAATAATAAAGTCATATTTGTGTACCATTTGTTTGTTTATATCAAATCATTGTTTTTCAGAAAAAATGTTGGTGGGCAATGCTGTTATATTGTTTGTTGGGGGAAGTGACACAATTTTCGCTTCATTGATTTGGCTGTTGAGATTGATGGCGGATCGTAAAGATGTGCAAGACAAAGTGTACGCCGAAATAAAGAGTGTTCTTGGAATGGACGGTAAAGCAAAATATGAAGAAAGAGATTTGATTCCTTACACTTTTGCTGTACTAATGGAAGCGCAACGATATTCTGGTTTCGTCAGAATACCTGCAAGTAGAATGTTAGTAATTAATTTTAATTATTTCGTAATTACTTTTCTTTAACACTGTAAAAATGTTTGTTGTTTAGCTGACACCATTTTTGATGTTGAGGTAAGCTAACATTTTTTACAGTGCATATAGTCACATTATTTATTTACTTTTTCCCATTTATAGTTTTGCTTATTTATTCGACTTTATTCGTTTGTTTACTGACACACATTTTCATGCGCATTAGAATCACTTTAGTGGCTTCATTGCGAAAACATTAGGTTTATAAAACAAGCATATTTTAATAGTATGTTTGCTCTAATTATTTCAAACAATATTTATTTTGTCAATTTAGTTAAATATTTTCTACTACAACTACAGTTCTGTACTTAAAAAGATATTCAGTTTACCTCAACACCAAAAATTGTAGCAACTATGCACCAATTTTCTTTTTTACAGTGAGTGCTGTTGTTGCCAGATTTAGACAAAATTATCAATGTTGATGATGTACTAAATTTGGTTCGTATAATTAACACATCCCTCAATAAGTCTCCGGCTTAGATAAGAAAAATAATTTTTTAAAAAAATTATATTTTATTCGTTAACATACTCCCATTCAAGAAACATACATTCATTCCAACGCTTTTCTAACTTTTCGATGCTTTTTTTGTAGAGCGTATTTGTCTCTCAAAACAGGCTTCGGAGTTTCAAAAATAATTTCTTCATATTTCTATGGAGCATCTGTAGAGCGTATTTGTCTTTGCTCTCAAAACAGGCCTCAGAGTTTCAAAAATAATTTCTTCATATTTCTTTGCAGCATCTTTTTGAGATCTGCAAGGAGTTAGTACACACTAAGGGAGAGATATCGAGAGTATGGTGGGAGGGGAAATAATTCAAACCGTAATTCATTAAATTCAGCTATTGTTCTATTCAGCACAAGACAGTGCTCCTTGTAGCTATTCAGCTACAAAGGGCACTGTCTTGTAAAAACAGAACTTTTTTTTCTTCGCATGTGAAGTCGCTTTTTCTTGATTTCCTCGCTCAGTCGATCTAATAATGCCATGCAATATTCGCCATTGATAATTTTATCTTTTTCAAGGTATTCGATGAACAAAATAACACGCGCGTTCAAAAAATACCGAGGCCATAAGCTTACCAGCTAACTTTTGAGTTTTTGATCGCTTTGGACGACTTTCACTGGCTGCTGCCCACTCAGCTGTCAGAGATCTTTTTATTCAGGAGTGTAGTAGTGGATTCATGTTTCATCCATTGTCACATACTGACCAATCCTTTTCCTTTCCTTTTCCAAGATATCCTTTTTTTCCGATTTAAAAGCTCCAAACAGTGTTCTGAATCGTCGACACTTTGCTATTTTTGGTTCGGTATGAGTAAAAGTGACAAACATTTCGAACTTAGCAACTTTCGCATGCTCAAGTTTTTATGCAAAATTGTAAACACCCTAACTTTTGATATCCTTAAGTTGTCAAACTCACGCAACTTCACTTTACGATTCTTTAAAACTATTTTATGAACTTTTTTGATATTTGGAACAACGGTTGATTTTGGACGACCAGAGCGTTCAGAATCATCTGTGTTCTTACGACAACGTTTGAATTCAGCATACCAGTCACTAATAGGTGCATAGTCTCCATAACCCTTATCGAGCCAATGTTTTGCTTCAACTGTATTTTCCTCCCATCAAAAATCAATGTTTAATCAAAACACGAAATTCTTTTTTTCCCATTGTTTCAAAAATTATAAAATTAGGATCACTAAAACCACTTGTAACCTCTAAACTATTGATCAGAGTGTCATGAAATTTTGACAATTATCCTCTGAAAGTTGTTACCATCCAGAAACCACACGATTCTGCCAGCAGTGCTGCCATATATGTGTTAGACCAGAGACTTTTTGAGTAATGTGCTACGTTTCGAAAAAATAAAAGCAAGCATTGCTTCCTTAGATCTAATTTTTTGTTACATAAATTTTAAATAGGAACCTGCAAAAATAAATATAGATTAAAACAATGCCAAGTCAAAACATACACCTTATTCAGGAAACAGAAGGTACTACCAAGTACTAAATTGATCTAATGATAGAGATAAGCCAGCAGTGTAATATAATGAATTTGTTATTTTGACTTTTTTATTTTAAATTTTTTATTTTTTCATTGTTAAAGTATTAGAAGCAACCAAATTCTTATAATTATTTTGCCAGGGACGTAAAATTACTGCTGAAAATAGTGACAAGATGTTGAAATTAAAATAAAAATGTTACAGAAACCATTTATCTGTTTTTTGGTGTAACTTAATTTTTTATTGCTCAGCGTCACTGCGCAATTAAGATTATATGTAATAATAGGGGCTATTCCTCCTGCTCACTTTGCTCATCAACCTCAATGACTGCTTCGCTTTAATTTTCGTTTCTTGATGTTAAACAGAAAGGAGAATTAACAGACTTAAAAAGAGAATTTTAAACATTAAATTAAACTCGTATTTAATTTCCAGTTACTATAAAAATTTTATATATTGGCTAAAAGATGAAGTAGTAGCTGTGCGAAAGAAACTTCTTGTATTGCTTTAAAATTTTAAATAGTTGTTTGCTATTGATTATTTATTAATGCTATTGATATTATAGAACGTATTCAAGTTTCTCTTTAAATCTAGAAATTTATTTCTTATCTAGACTATTTGTAGAAATTTTGTTTTATTATGATATACAATTTATTTTATTTTATTGTACTTGTTAGAGCCACCGAAGAAATAAACATTAAGGGATATACCATACCTAAGGGATCATATATCTGCAGTAATCTTTGGGCTATTCATCATGATCCAAATTATTGGAAAGAGCCCATGAAATTTAAGCCTGAAAGATTTTTATCTGATGATGGTAAAAAGCTTTTGAAAAGTCCTCCTAGTTTTGCTCCATTTTCAATAGGTAAGTGCAAATATTAGTGAAATGGATAATCTCAAATAAACTGATGCGAAAAAATTACCGAAAATAAAGTACTTCTTATTGCTTCAAAGTTAAATTATAAGTACTTGAAACTAGTCAAATTGAGTCGGAATCGAGTACTTGAAACTAGTCGAAGTTCTTCAATTCAAATGACGATGGGTGTCGTCTCGAGTGCTCAAGACGTGTAGAACTTTTTGACATTATTTCGCGGTTAGAGCTCTAGAAATATGTTGATCTTTCTCACACTTCATATGACGATGGGTGTCGTCTCGAGTGCTCGAGAATTGTTGAACTTTTTAACATTATTTCGCGGTTCGAGCTATAGAAATGTGTTGATCTTTCTCACACTTCATATGACGATGGGTGTTGTCTCGAGCGCTCGAGACGTGTTGAACTTTTTGACATTATTTCATGGTTTCGAGATTTTGAAATATGTTGATTAGGACTGGGCTATAAATCGATGTATCGAGACATACCGATTTAACGCATATATCGGCAAGACGATACAGCGACTTTCATTCAAGGCGATGCATCAGAAATCTGATTTAAGCCGTCGAGTAAAGGCAACGAGCGCAAAACGATATAGCGATATAAGACACGCAAGGATATAAGAACGATATAGCGATATAAGACTCTTCTCTTACGTTCCGATGTCGACTCGCGCTGTGGAAAACGATGTTCGTTTCGTTATGTTGAAATGGCCTTGATTGGTGAGCTGTAGAATCAGAATCAGAGTTTTGAGAACACATATCGTTATATCGCATGTTCCTTTTCGCACCTCTTAGCTTTTTTTTT